AGAGAGAGAGAGAGAGAGAGAGAGAGAGAGAGAGAGAGAGAGAGAGAGACAGACAGACAGACAGACAGACAGACAGACAGACAGACAGACAGACAGACAGGAGGAGATGGTGATGGCCGCTGTTGAAACTCCCAGAGCACTTGCGAGCGTGAACAGCACATCCACCCCATCCAGGCGTGCTCGGCGACCGGTACTTTGGCAGCCCCACGCGGCCCTGCAAACCATTCCCAGCTGTTACTTTATTTTTTCTGTGGTTCGTACAGCCCGGTTCACACAGAGTGGGCCTTCAGTACGCCGCCTGTGTCCAGGAGTAGACGTGGAATGTCAGTTTATCCAATCACTGTGGGCCCGAATGCTTTTATTTTTTCCTCCCAAAACTCGGACCGTGACCCCGGCCCGAGCCCCTGAAGAATGCTGTATCGGTTATATTTACGACGTAGCCTACCCCCCGAAGAATGTGGTATTGGTATAGGTTATATTTACGATTTAGCTTACCCTTTTCTTTTCTTTTTTTGATCTGATGATCATACCATTAGTCGTGTTTTTTTCCCAAAAATACCAAGGTGCCAGGCATCGAACCTCACATAGGTAAGAACAACACCTGAATGGAGGTCTTTTTTTCCTTTTTTTTTTTTTTTTAAAGCCTCCAATCTATTCATGTGGAGCATTGTGTGCGGGAAAACGGGTCCAGCCTTCCATGATAGAAAAGTTTACAGATTAAACCGCCAGTACCTTTCCCTGCTTGAAAAACAAATGCCCTCCGATTAACACGGGAGGCAGGCAGGCTTGGGACTACCAGCGCGAAAGGGGTGGTGGCCCCAGCAAACATGAGGCCCGCCCCAGTTCGTGTTTTTTTGGCATGCAGGGCAGTTCTAGGTTCGGCATCGATAGCTGAGAAAGGTACTCAGTCTGGTAGTTCAAGCTGCAAGCAGGGGAAAAGGAGGCTCGGGATAGCATTAATTACTCTGGGGGGCGCCAGAGGATTGACTGCCTGAGCCAGAAGGGAAAAGCACACCATAGCCTTGATGACACTGATGAGCCATCCGAGGATCGACTCTCTCTCCTCTTTATCTGCCTCTCAGACTTCAAATGTCTCATACTTTGTCGAAGATCTTGTTAAGCGGTAGATCAGCATTGATTGCTCTGGATTGTTCCAAGGTCTTTGCTGTTGTTGATGGCTCCTTTTTATTGGTCGTGGTGATTATCCACAACAGGGACTTGGGACATACAACCATCTGCAATACTTAGTACCATTTGGACATTCACCAGGTAAGGGAGGCACTTGGAATGCTCAAACGCTCAGAAGCTTCAACACATACATGCCAACTTGAGCATTAATAGTTTCTTCGAAACATTGTAGTAAATCTTTGCAGATCAAAGTAGGTACCGTTCAGCACCTGTGCAGATTCTCCAAGATCCGAAATCAATCTCCACTGGCTATTTTAGGGAGGCCGCTGTCTTTGATGGTTTGCGGGAGAGCATGGTTGGTCATCCCCCCTGATAGTTCTGTCTTACACCGTTGCAGTCAGTGGTAGTTCACATCTGTGGGAGGGGGGGTCCACAGTCTCCTAGCGGTTTTTAGCAGAGCCAGTTGCGTCATCACCCACAAAAGATTAAGCTTACATCACTGGCTCGCATCAGACCGTACTCGGGAGATCCACTGGTCTTCACCTGTCATGGGTACTCCTAACACCCTCCTAAATGACTGGGCTTTACGGAGGAAAGCTGCCATGGTAGGTTTGTAAGTCCCATTCTGTTGTCTTCATTTCCTAACGCTTGCGGCCTTCATTATGAGAATGGCTGTGTGGATGATGGGCATCAAACCACCAGTACTTGGCCCAGATACCGGCCATGGAAAAAAATAGAGTACAAACATTTCTTGTCGGATGAATTTGGGCGCTCTTGTAGTGGCTCGTACGTTTCCTAAAATGGTGGTTGGTTAGCTGGCATTACTTTAGGAAGTACTGGTGGTTAACGTGGACAGGTGTGTGACAAGTATGCTGATCTTCATGCAGTTATCTGAGCAAGGCGCATTGCCATCATCTGTGCCGTTTCATCTTTTCCTGGGTTTGGGGGGGGGGGGGAAGAAAAACACCTGCGAGCTTCGATGAGTGGGAGAGCTGCAGTGGTCAGGACTGTAGTCTTCACCTGGTTTTCTGAGTTTTGAGGAATAGCTTGTCCAGGATGTAACTTGAGGCAAATCATGCAAAGGGGAGGTGGTGATTTTTTTTTCCAATTTTTTGTTTGTGTTTTTTTTACTTCGAGGCGGGGGGTCCCTTTGGTGAGGTGGTAGAAGTAGGCCACTAAGTTTGCCCGTGGATTGAATGCTCCATCTATTGGTGGGGAGCTGCACCTGCCGGAAACCGGCCCCAGTCTCCCTTGCATTATGGAGATGTTATGAAACCCAGTTCTGCCATGTCGTAGAGTGAAATAGAAAGGGATGCAGAAAAATGCAGAAAGTCATGACATAGAGTGAAATCGACGTGCAACCAGCGTGTGTCTGGAATCCAGCCTCTACGACAACCTGGGCCTTTTTTCAAAAAAAAAGAATGGAAAAAAAAACAGCAGAAAATTCATAAATGCAGAAACCTGCTTGCTTGGGAGGAAAACAGGCTGAGCCTCCTGACAACGGCCTCTCAGCAATATGGCTGTCAGATGAAATCCGGTGCCACTAGCCTGCGTCTGGAGCTGTCTCCTTTTTGATGATGCTTGGTGTTGTCCTTCTGCCTGTAGCACCTGCCTCTGAAGCTTTGTTATACTCTGTCACCTGCCAACTCCTACACCAGACACATAGTCAGTGGGATGTGGTTCCCCCCTCCCCGGATGCCACTGGAGTTCCACTAATGACCTGCGTAGCACGGCGAACCCGTCCGGGCGAACACGTTCTCCCATTCGCGCAAATGGGTCGAGAACACATTCGTGAGAACGTGTTTTCTAGGCCAGCGAACGGGGTTCGCCTGGGCCGGTACCGGTCGCCGGCGAGGCTTTGGAGGGACCTGGGGGAGCGCCGGTGGTTGTCTTTGGGGTGGGGGCAGGCGCGGGGCTTTGTGTGTGTGTGTGTGTGTGTGTGTGTGTGTGTGTGTGTGTGTGTGTGTGTGTGTGTGTNGTGTGTGTGTGTGTGTGTGTGTGTGTGTGTGTGTCTGTGTGTCTGTGTGTGTGCCCCCATGTGTGTGTGTGTGTGTGTGTGTGTGTGTGTATGTGTGTATGTGTCTGTGTGTATAGTGGGTGTGTAGAACACGGCTACTCCATATACAATGGGGAACGAGACCATGCATCAGTCCAAACGTATAGCGATAAGTTAGTAGCAGGCTTAACACAAATTGGATTAAGAGGGAAGTTTTAACTTAGTCATCAACTCCATAACAGGAGGATGTATGTTAGATTGGGGGGTTAATTAGGGGGGAGTATTTTTAGTAGTTAGGCTGAGGTTAGTTTGGTGTTAGGGGTGCAGCGCTACCGGGAGTGCTGCGCCCCACCCGGGCCGAAGCAACGGAGAGCGGATGCGCGTTGGGGTGGAAGCCACGAACCGATTAGTGTGTCCGCGACAGCTTAACGGAGCGCTGCGATGGCACGTCTTGGGACTTCTGTT